TGTTCATGTAGCTCTGTATACGAACAAGAAGTATGTAAGTCTATCAACACACTAATATTTTTGAAACACATTAAACTATCATCAATGATTAACATCAGTATTCTTCACTAGACTTATTCATAAACTATAAAAGTAAACATTCAAATGTGATTCACCTCACGGTGTCCTGGATTCTGTCTTTCTTCAGCAGCTGAGAGACAAAATATAACATCTGGTAAGTTCATTCAACATTATGTTTGAGTCATTTTAAAGACCATTGAAGGAACTTGAATGAATTTTCTATTGTGAAATAATATATATAATATTGTGTCTGAAATGTCCTGTCTTTAACAACCAGACCGATGACGACCATCACAAGCAAAAGAGTCAAACCACGCAGGACGACACCAGAGTCGCTGCTCCATCACACTCTTCAACAAAGAAAGATCATTGTGTCAGAATACATTTTCCTTTTGGAGACTTTAAAACCTGACAAGATCAAACTGAATTATTTAAGCTTCTAAGCTATTCAAAGATATAAGAAGTCTGTGAATTATAGAAATAATAATCAAAATCATACTTGTAAGTTGTGTTCATGCTGTTATGAGCGTCACTGCTGCCTATTAGAGAAGGATTTCATCTTAACTGATTTACATCAAAATAAAAGACAATTTGATGATAGAAGATGTTTCAAGATCATTTACTACTTTTTTAAAAACATAAGCAGAAAATGAACAATGTGATAATGGAACAGAGAGAAGAAAAAAACTTTATAATAATCTTACATTGATCTTTAGATGTATCTAGTAAGAAATGGACGTCCATCTTTGTTAAATCACAGTAATAAATTCCAGAGTCGTTTAATTCCACTGAATGGACTTTGAGAAAGATAGTAGAGGTGTTGGACAACATAGTGAACTTATGATTACTGAATCCATCACGATATGTCACTGTGCTGTTATAACTGGTCATGTAGAGACACATTGGATGTTGGTTCCTTTGACTATGTGGGGCCGTATAATATCAGGCATGTTCATGGACACTAGGCAACACCCCTAGTCTCATAATATGGTTTTGATATGTTATTTTATTATCTTGTTCAATCAATCTGTTAGATATTCCTGTACAAAGGCACCATGATATTTTAGTTGGTACATTTGTGGGTCAAATCATAGACTGGTCAAATCTGATAAAGCAGACGAGAGAGAACCTGAGACGCAGCCAGCTTCTACAAAAATATCCTTTGCGACAAAGAAAACCACCTAAAACACTGACATACAACACATTAGGTCAACCATCAGTTACACATAGAATCAGTAATTTTTACGAGAGGAAGTGAAAGACAAGTTTAGAGTCACATGTTCATGGTAGTGACAGAAAAAAAAGTAAATACGTTCATGGAAGCACTTAAGGTTCGTGTTAAAATGTAAATTCATGTAGCATAGGATGTAAATGCACTTGATATATTAAGTTTAGTACCAGAAAGTAGGCCGCTAACACATTTAAAGACACTGAGATTTGTGTGAGGCATACAGTTGTGTATGTGGGTCTGAAAATGGGTTATTGGTAGTAACAGGGTTTTCACCTTGCAGTCCAAGATACTAACCCGCAAAAATGGCGGAGTAGAACTTCAGGTGTCACCTGGCCAGTGATGTCTGTTGCTCACACATGACATGAAGAGGGAGATGTATGTCATGTAAAACTGTTGTTGTGCAGAGAGTATCACGAAAGACTGACTTCCATTTAACTTACCTCTCTAACTCATAAGTTGCAGACTGAAAGACTCTGGGAAATTCTTAATATCGAGACAACATTTATTTTGGAGGGGAGAGTGTGGGGCCCGTATTAATATCAGGCATGTTCATGGACACTAGGCACCCCCCTAGTCTCATATATATGGTTTTTGATATTTTATTTTATTATGTCGTTCAATCATACTGTTAGATGTTCCTGTACAAAGGCACTGTGATATTTTAGTTGGTATATTTGTGGGTCAAATTGAAGAAGTATCACACAGGCACTTTTGGGGCAGCTCTGGGCAGCACAGGGGTCTTTGATGCCATGCATAGCTCAGTCGACCCAGATGTCCGAGAGTGTGCAGCCACGCTGAGTTGATGTGTTTGTGTCTCTGTGTTTCAGGTGAGCAAAAGTGATAAAAGTGACAGTAGGAAATTCACAGTTAGCCTTCTTTAATATTTACTGTGTGTGTGTGTGCGCAGAATATTTGTATAAGTGTGTGAGAGAGTCATCAGCATCATCTTTGATGAGCAGATCTGTGATGCCATGCGTTGCTCAGTCGACCCAGATGTCCGAGAGTGTGCAGCCACGCTGAGTTGATGTGTTTGTGTCTCTGTGTTTCAGACCGAAGTAAAAGAATAATCATAAAACCCATGGCTGCTTGGTTCTTTGTGTACAAGTGTGCAACAACTAGTTTCAGCCAATATCTGACTGAAACCTGTTCGTCCATGCCGGAGCACATCAGTGTGACATCTTCACCAGACTGGACCTCCACAGTCTGAGACTCAGAACCTGAGACAGAGATCCAACCTGGAACAAACAGATGAGTGACCGAGATATTAAGAGTCAGAACCTGAAGGTAAAACACTTCTCTTCACATGAGTTAACAAATATGAGATAAGTGGATAAGATGCATTTAATGCAGATGAATCAAACAATATTAAACATATCAATGAAGTCACAAATGTTGAAACACTTATCCTGTTCCTGTATGTGATGTCAAACATGCTGCAAGTAAAGTAAGTCAAGACACAGACATTGAGTTGTTCAGAGCTCTACCCTTTAACATTTTTCAAAAGCGCTATTTCAAATACGTCTTCACACCTAAGTACAAACATACAACACTCTGTGCACAGATAGAGAAAGGTGTTTAACTTTAAATGAAATGTACTTATCAGGAAAACATTGTCAGAAGTATGTCTTTAATATTGAGAAGTTGAAATGTTGTTATCAGCACACATCAACTTTCTGAACACTTTATAATATTTTTTTCAGTTTACTGATGATATTATTTATGTTGACGAGCAGAGACGTCTGAATGGACAACGGAGGTCACTGCTGATTCATACAACACTCATACAGCCGCCAAAGTTGATGGATTTGGAAGAGAGCCGGTTGGACTTAAGGTTATTGGTGGTCATCGCAGAGGACCGGCGAGAAGATTGCATGCTCATGACAGCCAGAACAGTGAGTTTTTGCATTTTCATGTGCACGAAGATGTTATTGAGAACTTAGCGTAATGTGGATGTGAGGAAACCCTCCATTTAAAACAATACCTGCCTACGTGTGGACCAGGTCTTAGATTCCTGCACTAATATCTGAGAGTGTTGGACAGAGTGGGGAATGATCTATGTTGGAGCGTCTCTCACTATCTTACATACTCTGTATGGTTTAGGTAAGATAAGAGGAGGAGGAGTCTTCAGTAATATGAACAGTTTTGGTGATATGTTCCTGCAACATGTATAAAGATGTTTATACAATACAAACACAATAAAAGAAAACAACAAACTGACAACTGAGGCGAGCAGTGAAGTCTACAGCAGGAGAAACTCTGCTCACACTGACAATGTCATCAACGTGCCCGCTCACTTTCAGGGAAGAATCCAGACTATTACCTGCTGCATTCACACATCAACTCAACCTGAACTAATGTGGAATTTACAACTCAGGGACTGGCAGGACAAAGTCATGTCGGAGTCAGAGGGAAAAACTTCACACATGCTCGCCTCCTGCGACAATGTCAGGACATTTTCAGATTACAGTGCATGTGTGAAATGGTTTTATTTGTGTTATCTGAAACCAGTTACTGCACCTAGAATGATTCTATTGTGGTCAACACCAGGTTCTTATTTGTTATGAGTAGGGCTGTTCAACTCTCCTTTACAAGACGCCTCAATGCAATATGAATCTCTGTGGCTATGCTCCACTCCCTAGTGGTTAGTCTATCATATTGCTGCTGTCTTTTTAAAAATGTGGCTTTCTCTCTTCCACCAGATCATTCATGCCATTGTGACGTGTGTTTTTCCACCTCCACATCACCACCAAGTCTTCACAGTTTGGTCAGACACTTCATCCCATCAGCCTCAGATCACAGCATCACCCATCTTCCCCATCAACCTCAGTCTTCACAGTGTAATCAGCTACTTCATCCCATCAACAGCTGTGCAGCCATCATTTTCATACACATGAAGACAGAAACAGACACATCTTGTGAGATTCAGTTGGTCAGTTTGTGTTAGGTGAGGGATAAAGGAGTTGGTTGAAATGTATATGACAGTGGAAATAGATGGGAAAGTCCCCTGCTGTGTTTTTTTCTGTCATTTGTTACCTCTAAAAAATGATGCATCCTTTAGCAGAGTAAATGTTTTGATATGAGACTGTACAAGAGTCAGTTTGCAAAATGTCTTTTAAAAAGACAGAAGTGATGTTAATGCAAGTGTTGAGTCTGAAGTGTGACCTCTGATAGGAGGAGCTGTGATACAGTTTGATGTTTATTCATCACTGACTAGATTCTCACCTCTTGTGTCTTTGAACGTGACTTTAAAAATATCTTCACTTCTTCAAGTCTTCGTATTCTTTGGGAAAATGACGCCTGTTGGGTGTGGTCATGATGCAGGGGATTTTGTACCTTCTGTGTTTTAATGACTTTACTACAAATGTAGAGATGCTTTTTGTTTTGTACAACCAACAAAAGACAGTCAGCCATTTGCTGCTTCATTTCACACTTTATTCTCAAAGAGGTTGGGGTCCACAGGCCTCGTGGTTTTTGCCACCTCAGACCACACTGTGCTCTTTTCCTGTTTAACAAGTGATGTGATCCTCATTCTCTCATCTGCTTCTGCTGACAGAAGTGCTGCAGACAATGTTCCTATTTCTGAACTCATCACAATCATTAAAAAGTCACAGGGACAGACCATTGCTGATGAAGATTTTGGGATACAAGGGGACAAACAAAGATGGCAACTCATCACATAACTCGATCTTTTAATGGATGAATAAAACCTTTATTGCCCCTAGAGGAATTTGCCTTGCACTGAGAGCATACAAACACAATATAAGTGATGAACGATGTCAAAACCAACTTCAGTACAGCACATAAAAATGAGTCATTTAAAAAAGAACATCTACCTAAAGCATCACATGATGACATGTAGGAATTTCTAAAACACATCACAAAAGAGATGCAGGGAGCCACAGACAGTGTTGATTCAGCAAAAGTAAATAGTAAGTAAAAGCAATATTAAGATGATAATTCAACTAACTCTCACCATCAAGCCATGCAAAAGCTCAAAGCATTGTAATAATGTATGATACAAGATCATGTCCAGCTGCCTCCTCACTCTATCTGGTAGCAGCATACAAGACATTTGGCTCCGGCCCTCTTCTTTTGGCTTTAGATCGAAATGTCACTGCTGCGTAGTTAAGTTCATCAGAGGTCACATTCTGTAAAGAGAATATTTACAGTCATAATGTGTTCACTTGAAATGACTTTTCTTCCCAGAAGAGACTAACATATTCTAGATCTTTAAGCAGATGGTTGTTGGTAATTTAAGACTTTGATTTAAAAACAGTTCAACGTTCTTAAAATATGACCAACAGTTATCAAAGCCAGAGAAATCCTTAGTTTAATAGTTGTAACAGGACGTGTCTTGTTGGGACGACAAGTTTATTGTTGCCTTGGAAACACTGGATGGTACACCAAAGCCCGCTGCAAAAGGAAATCGGGAGCTGCTACTAAAAGCTGCTGTACTGTTGCTGCATGTGCTGCTGTGATAAAAATGCAATGTATATTATACTTGGATACTTTAACTCATCGATAAACATATTCTCTTTCTCAGGCTGGTTTCGTCCGCTTGTCTTTACTATGGTCAACTCTGAGTCATCGGGTCAAGTAACAGAGAGAATCACTCCCATGATTCCCCGCCAGCCTCAACATCATCTTTTATTATTGTTTTTACATGAGAGACCCCTGGCAGAATTTACATACTGTTCCTCTAAAGCATATGGACAAAAAGTACATAAGTCTATAAATACACAAATATTTCAGGAACACATTAAATTAACACCAATGAATATCATGTCATTATTCTTCAATCACAAACTGTGTTAAAGTAAATTGAGTTGTATTTACCTCAGTGTGTCCTGGATTCTGTCTTTCTTCAGCAGCTGAGTGACAAAATAAAACATCTTGGTTAGAGGTTAGGGTTCATTGAACGTTGTCTTTGGTAAACTTAAAGACCATAAATGCAATAATAAGTACATTATAACATACCTGTCTGAAGTTTCCTAATTTTAGCACCCAGACCGATGACCACCATGACAAGCAAAAGAGTCAAAGCACCCAGGATCATGCTCACCAGAGTCGCTGCTCCATCACACTCTTCAACATGAAAGATCATTGTGTCAGAATACATTTTCCTTTTGGAGACTTTAAAACCTGACAGGATCAAACTAAATTATTTAAGTTATTTGAAGATATAAGAAGTCTGTGCATCATAGAAATAATAATAAAAATTGTACTTGTAAGGTTACAGTCCGTTCTGTCCATGTCTTCATCTGCCTCGTTGCTTCCTATTAAACATATTTAAAGAAGCTTAGGTCTTTAGTTGCTGTTCCATTAGACTCTTCTACAGAGACAGATCATTGCTTCAGACTCTGTTTTCCTTTGGAGACTCCAAATTCAGCTAGCTTTTTAACATGTAACATTTAAAATGTCAGAAGTCTGTTGAATAAAGAAAACTTTTGGAGAATATTACTTGTGGAGTTGCTGTTCATGCTGTTATGAGCGTCACTGCTGCCTATGAGAGAATGATTTAATCTTAACTGATTTACATCAAAATATAAAAGACAATTTGCTGATAGAAGATGTTTTAAGATTCTTTTATTTTTTTAACATAAGCTGACAAAATGAACAATGTAATAATGGGAACAGAGAGAAGGAAAATACTTAAAAATAATCTTACCTTTGATCTTTAGATGTATCGTAGTAAAAAATGGACGTCCATCTTTGTTAAATCCACAGTAATAAATTCCAGAGTCGTTTAATTCCACTGAACGGACTTTGAGAAAGATAGTAGAGGTGTTGGACGACATAGTGAATGTATGATTACTGAATCCATCATGATATGTCACTTCACTGTTATAACTGGTCATAGTAGAGACACATTGGATGTCGGTTCCTTTGACTAGTTTAAGCCAATATCTGACTGAAACATGTTTGTCCATGCCGGAGCACATCAGTGTGACATCTTCACCAGACTGGACCTCCACAGTCTGAGACTCAGAACCTGAGACAGAGATCCAACCTGGAACAAACAGATGAGTGACCGAGATATTAAGAGTCAGAACCTGAAGGTAAAACACTTCTCTTCACATGAGTTAACAAATATGAGATAAGTGGATAAGATGCATTTAATGCAGATAAATCAAACAATATTAAACATATCAATGAAGTCACAAATGATGAAACACTTACTGAGGCTGCAGAGAAGGAAAGCTTTTATCAGCACTTTGTTCATTGTTGTGCGTATGACTGTGCCTTTGAAGTGTCCGTAATTTTGAAGAGAGCAGTAGAAAAGAGAACAATAGGGCAAAGAAGAGGGGTGTTTTATGCCCCATATCCTGTTCCTGAATGTGATGTCAAACATGCTGCAAGTAAAGTAAGTCAAGACACAGATATTGAGTTGTTCAGAGCTCCGCCCTTCAACATGTTTCAAAAGCGCTATTTCAAATACGTCTTCACACCAAAGTACAAACGTACAACACTCTGTGCACAGATAGAGAAATACGTTTTCCTTATTACCAGCCTCCGCCCAACGATGAACCAAGTGCTGATAAAAGCTTTCCTTCTCTGCAGCATCAGTAAGTGTTTCATCATTTGTGACTTCATTGATATGTTTAATATTGTTTGATTCATCTGCATTAAATGCATCTTATCCACTTATCTCATATTTGTTAACTCATGTGAAGAGAAGTGTTTTACCTTCAGGTTCTGACTCTTAATATTTCGGTCACTCATCTGTTTGTTCCAGGTTGGATCTCTGTCTCAGGTTCTGAGTCTCAGACTGTGGAGGTCCAGTCTGGTGAAGATGTCACACTGATGTGCTCCGGCATGGACAAACATGTTTCAGTCAGATATTGGCTTAAACTAGTCAAAGGAACCGACATCCAATGTGTCTCTACTATGACCAGTTATAACAGTGAAGTGACATATCATGATGGATTCAGTAATCATACATTCACTATGTCGTCCAACACCTCTACTATCTTTCTCAAAGTCCGTTCAGTGGACTTAAACAAGTCTGGAATTTATTACTGTGGATTTAACAAAGATGGACATCCATTTCTTACTACGATACATCTAAAGATCAAAGGTAAGATTATTTTTAAGTTTTTTTCCTTCTCTTGGATCCCATCATCACATTATTTTTTTCAGGTTATGTTGAAAAGAAAAAAAAATTATCTTAAAATATCTTCTATCATCAAATTGTCTTTTATATTTTGACGTAAATCAGTTAAGATTAAATCCTTCTCTAATAGGCAGCAGTGACGTTCATAACAGCATGAACAACAACTCTACAAGTAATATTCTCCAGAAGTTTTCTTTATTGAACAGACTTCTGACATTTTAAATCCTTCATGTTAAAAAGCTAGCTGAATTTGAAGTCTCCAAAAGGAAAACAGAGTCTGAAGCAATGATCTGTCTCTGTCTCTCTAATGGAACAGCAACTAAAGACCTAAGCTTCTTTAAATATGAAGATGAAGACGTGGACAGAACGGACAGAAACCGTACAAGTACGATTTTTATTATTATTTCTATAATGCACAGACTTCTTATATCTTCAAATAACTTAAATAATTTATTTTGATCTTGTCAGGTTTTAAAGTCTCCAAAAGGAAAATGTATTTTGACACAATGATCTTTCTTTGTTGAAGAGTGTGATGGAGCAGCGACTCTGGTGAGTGTCGTCCTGCGTGGTTTGACTCTTTTGCTTGTGATGGTCGTCATCGGTCTGGTTGTTAAAGACAGGACATTTCAGACAGGTATGTTTTATATCTTTCTTTATCACAATAGAAAACTCATTCAAGATCCTTCAATGGTCTTTAAAATGACTCAAACATAATGTTGAATGAACTTACCAGATGTTATATTTTGTCTCTCAGCTGCTGAAGAAAGACAGAATCCAGGACACTGTGAGGTGAATCACATTTGAATGTTTACTTTTATAGTTTATGAATAAGTTCCATGTCATTACTTTGATTAGAAGGAACACACCCCTTTTCTAAACAAACTAAAAACTTCAACTCATTCATAATTTGATTTTTATCAGTTAGTGCGGTCTGGACTACAACACTAGTCAACATGTCTTTAAATTATCGGCTGAATTACCTTTTATCAATGACCAACAACCAAATATCCTGATCTGTACCTGCTTAAAGATCCAGAATATGTTGGTCTACTCTGGGAATAAAACTCATGTCCAGTGAACACATCATGACTGTAAATATTCTCTTTCACAGAATGAGGCCTCTGATGATCTGAACTATGAAGAAGTTGTAGAGTTGACCTGAAGCCGTAAGAAGAGAGCCAGAGCCAGATGTTATTCATGTTGCTTCCAGATGGAGTGAGGAGGAGACTGGACATGATCTTGTATCAAACAGTATTACAATGCTTTGTACTTTTGTTTAACAACTTTCTAACTTACTATCAATAAGAAGTTATAATGGAGAAGTATGGAGGGCAAACTCTTAGTTAATGACCTATTAGCTGTAGACTATGGTCATGTAGAATAAGGTACTAATAAGCACTTGATAATGACTAATAAGCAGATATGCTAATAATTAGCATGCTCATAAGAAATTAGTTAATGGTGAATATTGTGACCTTAAATCAAAGTGTTACAGAGATTTCTTAAAAAAATTGTTATTGTTGTACACCAGTTTCATTAATATGACGCCCACATGTCTGTTGTAATACTTGCTGATGCTTTAGTTAGATTTTTTTAAAGTTTCTTTTTGATGTGCTGTCCTGAAGTTGGTTTTTGACAATTTTTGTCACTTATTTTGTGTTTTTATGCTCTCAGTGCAAGACAAATTTATCCTCTTGATATTACTTTTACTTACTATTTACTTTTGCTGAATCAACACTGTCTGTGGCTCCCTGCATCTCTTTTGTGATGTGTTTTAGAAATCCCTACATGTCATCCATGTGATGCTTTAGGTATATCTTTTTTAAATGATTTGTTTTTATGTGCTGTACTGAATTTGTTTTTTTATACAGTTTTTGTCACTTATTTTGTGTTTGTATGCTCTCAGTGCAAGACAAATTCCCCTGGGGGCAATAAAGGTTTCATTCATCCATTAAAAGATCGAGTTATGTGATGAGTTGCCATCTTTGTTTGTCCCCTTGTATCCCAAAATCTTCATCAGCAATGGTCTGTCCCTGTGACTTTTTAATGATTATAATGAGTTCAGAAAAAGGAACATTGTCTGCAGCACTTCTGTCTGCAGAAGTAGATGAGTGAGTGAGGATCACATCACTTGTTAGACAGGAAGAGAGCACAGTGTGGTCTGAGGTGGCAAAAACCACGAGGCCTGTGGACCCCAACCTCTTTGAGAATAAAGTGTGAAATGAAGCAGCAAATGGCTGACTGTCTTTTGTTGGTTGTACAAAACAATAAGCATCTCTACATTGTAGTAAAGTCATTAAAACACAGAAGGTACAAAATCCCCTGCATCATGACCACACCCAACAGGTGTCGTGTTCCCAAAGAATACGAAGACTTGAAGAAGTGAAGATATTTTTAAAGTCACGTTCAAAGACACGAGAGGTGAGAATCTAGTCAGTGATGAACAAACATCAAACTGTATCACAGCTCCTCCTATCAGAGGTCACACTTCAGACTCAACGCTCATACTAACATCACTTCTGTCTTTTTAAAAGACATTTTGCAAAGTGACTCTTGTACAGTCTCATATCAAAACATTTACTCTGCTAAAGGATGCATCATTTTTTAGAGGTAACAAATGACAGAAAAAAACACAGCAGGGGACTTTCCCATCTATTTCCACTGTCATATACATTTCAACCAACTCCTTCGTCCCTCACCTAACACAAACTGACCAACTGAATCTCACAAGATGTGTCTGTTTCTGTCTTCATGTGTATGAAAATGATGGCTGCACAGCTGTTGATGGGATGAAGTAGCTGATTACACTGTGAAGACTGGGGTTGATGGGGAAGATGGGTGATGCTGTGATCTGAGTAGCGATGTGTAGTTCGTGAACGATTCGTTCAAAACGAACGAATCATCTGGGTGAACAAACTGAACTGAATCACTTACTGAAAAGAGTCGTTCATTTCTCAACTTCAGTTACGCTCTCCTCTCTCCTGTCTCTCTCAAAGCCCGCCCTCCCTCCTCTCCTCAGTCAGTACAGTGTGTGTGTGTGTGTGTGTGTGTGTGTTCTGGTTTTTCTACTCTTATTGAGACCATGACCACTAAAACGACCTTCCATATTAGGACCAGAGGACTTGTTAGGACCAAAACCATGGGCTTGATAAAGAGAAGCACTGAAACAGATAGGAAATGCCATTCTAATATGCCCTGTGCAATAAAACTACAAAAGTTGGTATGGTCCTGAGAAGTAGGTTTATTTACTTGTTTATGTTTCAAAGTGTGTATCGGACTTGTGTGACCTCTCTGGCCAACTCATGTAATTGCATGTGTGTGTGGAATTTTAAGGTTTGTCACACAAAACGGAGATTATTAATAGTAGACATTAGTAGAATTTAGTAATACACAGTTTAAAAATATATATATTTTAAAATTTTTAAAACTTTTTTGTGTAGATTTTAATTTAAGATTGCTTAAGATTTACAATATGAACCATAAAAAGAAAAGCAATGTATGAAATATATTAAATAAAATCAAGGTAATATATGGCACTAAATACACAAAAATCATTGCTAGACATAAATATTGATATTGTTTTTTTATTATCAAAATGTTCAAAACATAAAGCAGTACAAATTCATCCTCATCCATCAATTTCAAAAGTGGACTGAATTCACAACTGGATTGATCTTTCTTTTTTTAAAACACTTAAAATGTGTGAGTTTTGGTTACTGGTGCTAAAATAAAAATTCTATTGATTATTTGCTTGATTAATCATTTTCAATCATACATTACATATTACAGTGGAAGTCAAGTCTGGTTTAATGTTCCTGACTAGAAGCAAAAATATACAGGACACTTCCTGCACATGTCATATTACTGACTCACTTAAAAATGTGTTACTTTTTGTTATTCTGAGGATATAATCATTAGCTTTAAAGATTATTATTTTATTTTCAATTTTCAAGGTTCAACAATTGCTTATGGGATTGGTTAGAAGACTGGTCAGTCTGTGCTTAATTATAACTAGCATTTCCACATCTCCCTGGTATCCCTCTAATTAAAGCAAATTTGAGAGTTGACCAATGATAAGTAACATACATGGCAGTCTTCCTTGTGCTCCCCCATGTACTGAGAACCATATTCCTTTTTTTATTGGAACTGCAAGTATTTAAGTTACTACAAAAATTAGTTTGTACAAACAAATACAAGATTGGCAACGGCCATGGGATGAAATCCAACATTGGCCCTTTGAATTTCCTGTCTCTCTTCAGCTATTAAATGAAGCTAACACCCCCCCTTTTTAAGACTCAGAGCATGCTTGCTCCTTTAATGACCAATGATAACTTGCAAACAGCCTTATATTATACTAATAGGTAAAATTCTTAGTTATGCAACAGTTCACATGAGCACTAGAATAAAATAAATTACAAATTAGGGGATGAGTAAGTAAATATATGACAATAAAATCGTCTTCTAAGCCTGAACATGTTAAATTATTAAATTCTTACAAACTTAGAAAAATGTCTGTAAAAATCATCAATATAAATGAACAGGTATATTAACAACGTGTATCACTTACAGCCATTACTTTAAGATCGATTCACACAAGGGATTACTTCAGATTCAACACAAACAGATACAGCCATGCTCTTTTGTGTCTATGGTCTTCCTGTATCTTATGATTTCAAAATAAAGGCACGATGATCTTTCATGCAACTGACTATGGAAATTTAATTAATTGGAATTTTAACAGTCCATGGAACTTTGTAATTTAAAACATAAAACCAATTAAGGCCAGATATTTTTTAATAGCTGATTTACTGTTTAAGTTACTTTCATTAAGAAATTTCAGATATTTTTCAATTAATAATTTTTCCACTTTTTTCTGTTCCACACATATTAAACAAAATATCTTTGTGTTTTGGTACGAAACATGTTTTAAGACATGCTAAACTGGAACTTGGACAACCCTGAGAATAATTGGCAAAGTATACACATTATTTATGTGTTGGGCGCTTTACTTGTGAGATTACAATTTCTTGCTTCAGTTTACATTTTTGGCCTCTCAATTTTTCTTTTCTTCTTTTTATAAGAAGCTTATGGTCCTGTTTAAATGTCTTCCTCAATTCAAAAAGCCACTTATATTTTATTTTTGCATTAGAATATGGCAGTAATCTTTCAACTACTGAGTAAGTTTCTTCAATACACCCTGCTCACTATCCAAAATGGACATTAACATCCTCTAATAATAGATTATTTGTAGGAACATGAGTGGTACCAGGTTCAGTGCTTAACCATAATCTTAAATAATGTAAGCCACCAGCAGGTTCACCATATTTCACCATGTACACATATCAAAGTGTTAATTCTGTCATACTCCAACATGATCCCCCCCTGGCTTGGAGAACATATCGTACCATCTAAAAGATACAATAAAATCAAAAATGGAGCTCAACACAGTCTTTATGTTTGAGGATTAATAACTCATTTCAGTCATCACAAAATTTACATAGCTTTACACCTATTTTTCTCCCATTTATACGCATTCATAAGCCACCGACGTATGAAGCAGCAGGAGCAATTCGGTGTCAAGTGTCTTGCGGCGGCCCGAGCGGCCAGCAATGGTCAGCGCCCTCAGCAGCCATCTCGCTGCTTTTGTATATTTTTTCGCCATTATCAGGTTTCTCCATAGAGCCTGTTAGCACAGCTTCCAAGCAATATGGCGGATGTTAAGTTTCGATTCTGGCGCTCTGATTCTGGCGATCAGTGAGTTCCCACCCACTGATCTGTGATTGGTCTGTAGCTTCAGTGGTCAAAAAAATGAGGAACTAGCGTTGTATTTTCACCCCACTAACCTCAACAGCTTCCAATGATGCAATATGACAATATTTGTCTCACTGGAAGCTCCTTTTCAGACTTAGAAATACAGAACTTTCCAGTCTCAGGGAGAAATGAGGGCGGGATGCACAACCATTCAAAAATACTACCAGGTTTCTAATGATACAAAGCTTAATGCAAATGGGTGAAGTATCCCTTTAATCAAACGTCTAATTTTTCTTGTAATTAAAAATTAAAACAGGTCCCACAGACCCGAATACCATACAAGGCATTTTTTGGCCCAACGTGTAAATGTTTAGCAATTTGGTCAGGTATGCACACCTCTTTTTCTAATAAACCCAAGCTCTACAAAAAAAAGAGTGTGTGTGTGAGACACACGTTTTGGTCCGAATATGAACTATTCCCCTCCCCCCGGTCCTAACATGGACTATGTCGGTCCTAATAGGAAATATCTTTTCATACAGGCAGAGTGTGTGTTTGAAGGGGTTTGTTTAATTTGT